TACAGAAATTTCTCTTCCAGTTTTTCTTTGATATAACTTGTATCTAGCGTTCACTACAATGCTTAATGGGATGGTGCCTGTTAGGGAGGCCTATGAGCTACAGGCGATTTGAGACAATGGCAGCACTAGGCGCAAATCATCTTCAGAGAACACCCTTCTCTGTCATGCACAAGGAATTTATTTGCTAGAGGATATGAACTTCAACTGAAAACAGCACAGTCTAGGCCATCCAGATATCAATTATTCAAACCTCCATACCTGCAATTTTCTACAGAGGTCCTAGCTCCTACATCAACTTGTCACTATCTACGTTTCCTTCATCTAGCCAAATTTATTCCCAAATTTTATATCCCAGGTTATTGAGGAAAACGAGATTCTAGGAAAGGCAGGTATTAAAAAAAACCGCAAACACTCCAGAAGATTCCAACAGGACATAGTACGTTTGAGCTGCTGGTGAGCTAGAAAAAACTTAAAATTGTCTGATAAGATTTTTTTCATTCACTCTAGCAAATGATTGAACATGGTCAAGTAGTTGGAGTACCAAAGAAAGAACCCGCGTGCCTTTTATCCATAGACTAAGTTGCTAACCACATCTGCACATTATTTTGGGACAAACTCCTAAACTGCTTTTGCAACTGGACTCCATGTTCATCCAACTATGTGGACAGAGTTAGAATTGGTTCAGTACAGTGACAAGCCATCTGGACAGCCCAACAAGAGGCTTCCTCCATGTGCTCTGGAAGGTGGCTCAGGACTACTCAGTTGAAGTAGACGCAGCTACCTGATCTTGCTGGGATTCAGGTCTTCCATTTGTAGCAACTGCCTAAGGATATCTGGGCACTTCAAGAGTATGGGATTTAAAAGTTAACTCTTGTGAATAAAAAAAATTGGAACACTGCATCTGAAGTACCATCAGCCACATTCCAAAATCTATTAAGAGTTGGTGGGAGAATCAAATCTTTTAATAGCTACCTCTGTTAGACTTGAGACACAGGTATGCTTAGACCACTGCTGTTGACCAGGGTATACAGACTAATCAATGCTTGCAATGACTAACTTGAACTGACAGACTCGTCTTCCCCTCTGTGCTTTGTGAACTAGAACAACAAGAATTCCCCCATCCCATCCCATCTCATCTGTAGTCTTGCCCAAAGGTTTCTGTTCTTTCCTCCAAGGCCCTTCTGTATTTGTCCCACAGCAAAACTCCCAGATGTATTCTGAGGGACCTGATCCTATCTGAAAAACATCAATTTAAAACTGCTCTCTCACATACCATTCTTGGCAAGCACCCAGATATGAACCACATGTCTGGTGGAGGAATTTGGCCCACAGACTGTTTTTAATTAAATGCTTGTCTACTGATATTAAACTGAACTTCAGTGGCATAAGAATGCTGCAAAATGGTTCATCCTAAATGAAATTATTTCCTATGTAATTTACAAACTTTATTTCTTCAGACTGGAAGAATTCCACATGTGTTAAAATGACAACCACTTAAACGTTTAAAGTTGAAAAAATGCCAGATGATAGAAAACAGTCAAAGAGAAATCCTCATATTTGATTTTTGAGAATAATATTCAAAAGGAATTCAAAAGGAAAAAAAAAGCTGTTGAGATAATTCATTAGCAACTAAGCTAACTGCAGTCTGTTCTGGCAGAATTATAAATCCATTATCTTTGTAGGCATATGAGAGAAGAAAGCAAAATAGTAAACAGTAGTTATAAAATTTTATATTCACTTAAATCCAAATAATATGAAATCTATTCACTTTTCTGAAGTAGGAGAAATGACTGCAAATCCTTTTGTTGAAAATCCATCACTTGAACTCTAATTTTACTGGCTAACAAAGCAATTAATGTATCTGTCCAGATTGCTATTACTTTACTGTATAATATGACTACTGGTACTTTTGCTGCACAGGCACATGCACCCAACTCCCCATGCTCACACTATCTGCTAACATGGGCTTCAACTAACTATATTTCATCTTAAATATTGAGAAGTTCAAAGTAATTATTTTACAGCTACTCTAAATCCAAAACAAAAACTGCCTTCTTTTAGAATAATATACAAGCAAGCTTTTCGCTAATTATGTCTCACTGTTTCTAGGTTCATGCTTTAAACTACAAGAACAAACAAGAGCATTCCCTGTCACCAAAATATCACTGTCTAAAGAGATGCTTTAAATCATTCCTGTTCAAAAATGAGGTATCTAATCTTTAAGAAAACCAACACACTAAAGGGGATGAGCAGGTTAAAACTTATATTTACATGAAGATACATTTTACTGCAAAAAAGTAAAAGTATATAACAAGACATGCCTAACTACTGTATGTATCTTTTTAAATATCCTTCACTCAGATTTAACTCTGTTAAAATGTGCATAGACCAAGGCATTAGAAAAATTTAAAACACTTCATATTTTATTATTTTTGTAAAAATGATCTTGAAAATTTTATATTGTCTAGATTTATAAAGCCCTGTAATTTGTTCATCAGTACTTCTGTGGGTGGATTCATCATTGCTGCATGCATGTACTGCATGACGCAGATCACTGCAAGTGACCTGCAGTTCAGTCAGTGCTGTTGTTCCTCACTTAAAATTCTCAAATTTAGTTCCCTTCTCCCACAAGAAAAATACGTAACAGTTAAAATTAAGGCCAATGTTAAAAAGCGTATTTGTCTCCCAGATCTAACAACTGCAGGACACTTTCCATAGAGGAGACCTTTCATCTGAATCAGGTTTTATTAGTATACAGCCTTAATTCTCAACACTTTTAGTCTGTGAAAAGGAAGTTTACAAAGAATCAGTCTTTCTGTCCTTCTGCACATGTGCCAAAATCTTGCTACTCTATGTACAGTACAGAAGACAATCAGCCTGGACCACAGTTAGTCCCATCAGTCTCTGTGTCAGGGGATGAAAAATTTATTAGGTGGCACTATTACGCCTAATACGCCTACGACAGACTAATTGGATCCTGTACAGATAAAGATTTTTCATGATCAAAGCAAAAAATAAAATCAAACAGCCACCATCTCCAAACCCCCCACCAAAAATCACCCACACCAGAACTTTGATGTCTCTGTGAATAATTCCACTGAAAGAATAAGGGAAAAAATCTCTTGCAATTAATCTTCATACCACACTGATAAAGGATAGAAAGGATTGCCTTGCAAGTAATATTCATTCCACTCTTCATTAGAGCTGTTTCAAACTAATTTTTTTTTTCACTTGAATTATATCTTTCATCTTGTTCTTTCTTGTCCAAGGAAGAGTTTGGAGTTTCAAAACCTCCTTCATCAAATCAGCCAGTTGAACCCACTGAAGAAAAAGCCAATACTGTCATTGTTCTTGTACACATGCCCAATTTGTATCCTCAGTTCATCAGTTAAGATTATAAAATGGGTTACAAAGATGAGTAGACCAAACACATTCTTGCTATGAAAATATTGTCCAGCATATTTCAAGATTTCAACAAGTCTTGGTCTTAAATATCAAGCTGCCTGCATTTGGCTGTAAGTTTAACTTTTTTTTCCCTAACTCTGTTGAGGCACTCATAAGTTGCTCTCCTTATATAGGAGAGAAAAAAATTGTAATAGACATACAAAAGAGCACAACGTACCTACTTAATTTCATTTTTGTTTGTTTTGTCAAAATAACTAATCAAGTATCAAAGAAGCTATAGTATATACCTAAAATATGACTTCATACAAAGAATAGGTGAACGTACGAAGTCTTAGAAAGATACATAAATCAGTAGTAATTTTCCTCTCCTCCTGCCTTTCAGAGGAGATGCATTACTGTTAAGCTTCACTGAGACTTATCCTTATTATTGTATTTCTCGTATCCCTTGCCTCTGGCTGGTCAGTACAATGATAACATTTGAAATAGCCCATGCACTGAAATTATTACTAGCCACTCTTCATGAGCCCCAGAAGATGCAATCACGGTATCCACTGGTCTCATATGCCCAGGCCCCTAGCAGCTGAAGACCTGCACACCATCTTCATCACTGAGGCCAACAGACACATCCTCCTCTACCTCCTCATCAAGCTGAAGGCTTCCAAAGGAGTACTTATTTCTAGGCATGGGAGAGGAACTCAGCACAATGGGATTTCCAAACACCAGAGGGTGAGTGAAAGGGTTAATGATTTCTGAGTCAGAATCGCTAGATTCTGTCCCACTGCTGGTGGAGCCCTCCATCATCTGGATTGCAGCCATGTGATCCATCACACCACTGGTATGCAGCGAGTGTATAACTGGGCTCTGCTTTGACTGTGCCCGAGCTGGCATACCGTTGGCCATCATTTGGCCTTCTGCAGAAGACAACTTAGCCACCCCGTCACCTTTACAATATCTCTCTGATCTATACTCCTGCCCAGGAGTTGGGGATATCTGGCTCAGTATAAATGGATCTGTAACTGATTTATTGCAGAGATGTGGGATTTTCTGTCCATGAGGCCGTTGAGAACCTGGAGAGTATCTGCCATACCCATGGCAGCTACTGGCATGGCTATCCTCCTCCCCAGTCCTCACCCTGCAGTCGTGCCCATTTTCTGAGACATAACCCTGAGAGCCAGTTCTACTCAGGCTCATGTTAGGGCTTGACCCTTTGCTACTGGGAGGCAATGGAGTGGCCAGTGGACTACGGCTCCCTGGCCCTCTAAACATTTCGTCAACTAGTGAGCTGTGCCTTGGCATCCTGGGGCTTCCCCCAGTGTAGAATGAGAGATTAGCTGGGTTATCATCAAGGTACTCTTCAGAGAGGTACTGGGAAGACTTTATAGAGGCTGAGGAATCCCTGTATCTAGTTCTATTGCGATTTTCATCTCTATAGTGAATATAGGCACCACTGGTCAAATCACCCTCATAATTGTCATTTGTTTGGGAATATGACCGGGTTATTTGTCCTCTGAGGAGATCATACTCGCTATCTACATCACTGCAGTCAATGAAAGGAATGGAGGTGCTGCTGCCATGAGCAGCCCTGGAAGCTGGACCTGTGCTTGGTTGCTGTGACTGAGGTCTGTTCTGCTGCATCCTGTCCTTAGCAGCCTCCTCTTCTTCCTCCACTGTTGACACCACCGCTCCATCCACCTTTCTGCCTTCCTTCGGGCTCTTCTTCAAGGAAGGGCTCTTCTGCTGTCCAGTGTCTTCTGTTGAAGCCTTCAACTCCTTCCCTTGCCGGGAGCTCTGCACTGCTGCAGCATCACTGTCATCTCCATAGGCAAAGCTAGAGCTCTGGAAAGATAAAGAAGGGAAGGCAAAGGGGAAACAACGGGGGAGGGAGGGGTGGGAAGGGAGAGGTTTGGGAGGGAAGGGAGCCAGAGGGAAAAGGCTATGTGTAATTACGCACCAGAATTTTCGACTGCATCTTGCAGCAACATAGGAGCCTCTTGAAAGTGGAAGAGGCAACCCAAACTTCAAAATGAGTTTAAAAAAAAAAAAGAGGGGGGTGTGTGTGTCTCTGACCTTAAGAAGAGGAAAAATACATAAACTAAGCAAGGGTTGGAGAAGGCAGACAGAATGTGGTGATATGTAAAAAGGGGTATTTGAGGTGTTTCAATGCATTCAAGGCATTCATCAGTACTACGAACGTCAACCTGTTCGCACTACTCTGAGAAGCTGGGGGGACAAAAGATACATGCATAAGACAAATTTTGCACAGCCTCTATACACTAAAAAAGCCATATGTGGGCTTTTGAACAGCCCACATTCAATCCCTGGAGCATACCCACTACTAATTCCTGGGCTGGCTTTTCTATACACAGAAATATGTTGCATCTGCCCAGTAGCCATGCTCCATCTACCTGAGCTTGTTTTAGCAATATTAAAATGCTAAAAGGTATTGGAAATAGGCTAAATTTATAGCAGAATTCTCTGAATTTCTTAGATTTGCAGGAATGAGAGAGCCTGTGAATATCAAAAGGAAGCAAGGCAAGGAAGGTGAAGGTGCATATAGCTTCTTAAAATATATTAACCTAGTAGCTTGCTTCTGCCATTTAAGTTCTACTTAATGTAAGGTTAGGTTAATAAAGGTTTGCCTCCACAAACAGAGATGAGCAGAGAGAAACACTGGCAGGTGGAGCAACTCCAATAACCCGGCTCCTCTGGGGGCTGTAGAGCCATCAACCCATGGTCTGGGTGTGCCTGGGATGCCAGCAACCGAGGAGATAAGAGCACGTGCATATTGATTGGGTGGGTAGGCCAATGTGCAATTGCTAGCAAACATTAAACTAGACTAGCTGGCAAGTAGGATAAAAGAGCTGGGAGCCATTACTGGAGCAGCCGTAAGTCAGGCCAGACACTGGAAAGACGATGGGGCCTGGGGGTTAATTACTGGTGATGGCATAAGTCTGGACTAGCTATTGAGGAGACACCTTTGATGTGCATGTGTCTCTGTGTGAGGTAACTACGAACCAGGGTACCCAGCTTTCAGTTACTGGGTAGACCAGGTGTCTAAGATGAATTACTGGAGGAACCCATAGTGAGAGAGAGTGTGTGTGTAGATCTGAGTACTGGCAACAGGAGCCTTGGGGGCTGTGAGCCTTGGGGGCTTGTATGTCCAGGTACCAGCCACTGGGAGACCTAAGGATCCAGGGCCCTGCTGCTGGATAGACTGTCTAAGACAAGTTACAGTAGGGATCCATATCATATATATGTAAATGTATTTTCCACTAATGAACTGTCATCTTGATCAGACAAAGAGTGGAACAGGGTGAAGCCACTGGCACTGTTTGTGCTTGTGGGAGTGCTGTTTTCTGTGTTTACCTCTGTGTGTATGTGTATATATATTGTATATGTGCATTTATGTGGGTACCTATTGTGAATACACGCTCAGCCTTACTACTAGCTGGACCTGGGAACATGTAGCTGCTGCAACCTCACCACTGTTGGACTACTGAATTTGCAAACTCCTAATGCATAACAGCTATTAATGTAAGACAAATACATTAGGTATATACCAGAGATAAGAGCTTAAAAGTCCATAGCTGTAATTTTTCTGAGGAAATAATTCTTCTCCTCCCTGGTTAATACAACAAAACACCTTGTCATGAGCAAGTAAGACCACCCCCCCAGTGAAGGAAAGGAATTAAACTTTTCACAGATGCAATAACCAGCTACGACCTAGGGCCCCAGCAGTAACACTGTGGATTGCAATTCTTCGTACAGCTCAGACAAGCTCACTATTTGTATTTGTCTGGTTGTCTGGAGGCAACTGTTCCACAGCGGAAATGAACATGTTCCACTTGCAGTACCTAAAACTTGTAACACCCAGGGCTCCCAGTTAAATGGAAAGCTAGCAGAAAACTATGCTCCTAGGGTTTCAAAACAGCAATTAGTGGAGGGTAATGTAACAAGAAATGTTTAAAAGGCATGATCCAGGGTTTCAACATCACTGACTTGTTTTGGCACCTCTGTATGCTGTTCTGAAGGCTGTGCAGTAAGACTCCTGATGGAATGAATCTTGCTGTGCTTCCTGGAGATAAAAGGAAAATCACAGTAAGAAGCCATTTCAGTTTTTTCTACAAATAGGAATCAAGAGACATGCCTCCTTTAAAACAAAACCTTGGACTAGCAGATTTCATAAAAGTTTGCTCCAAAACAGATTAACATTCCTCCTTTCTGTAAAATTTCAATGTGCTATGTGCAGCAAACATACTGTAGTAAGAAAAGGGAGAGGCCCTGAAGCAAAAATGGTCTATCACCGGAACATGAGTCATAAGCAATGAACTGCTGTCATGGTCTTTGTGGCCATTACTTTCAGCTCACTATAAGCAAGATGAGTTCAGACAGAACTGGCTCTAGCAAGTTGTAAGCCTTCCCTAGAGACCCTTCCCTTGCGGTTGGCTATACCTATTGCTGTTACTTTCAGTTTTGTTCTCAGGTGAATATGTGTGTTCACATACATTAACCACACCCCACCAAAAAGGGTGCAGATCAATACGGGAGGAAGTTAACCTGTGACAGTGGGATACTCACTGATGAAAAAACGATTGAAGACTACTGATTTTAAGTAAAGTATAGGTTATGTCAACTTCTGCCAAAACATTCAGGACCAAGGGGATATTATACAAATGATAAACTGTCAAAACAGCAAAGGAATTTTTCACTTGGACTGATGCCAAGATCTGAGACTAACTGGAAATCATGCCTTTTCTTTGATTAAAACATATTGGGATAGTTCATTTATCTCCTCTCACCTTTCAAACTGTACTTTTTTGTGCCCTCCTTCTTTAACATAGTCAAGAACTTGCTTCTGAGTCCGACCACTAGAAGAAAACCACAGTTAAAATATCAATCTGAGATACTGAATTTGCCACATTTAATACAATATATCACCTGGGTCATCGTAAACATGTATGTGGCCTGCATATGAAGTCACAGCAACCGGAAAAGTAATTGTCACTATCAGCAGAAACTCGTGTCATAAAGGGACCTGGTCAGATACACACAGATTTTTATCATTTTGCCTGTTACTTACCTCTTTTTTTTGCTACAGTGCTACTTTTTGATGCTTAAATTCAGTTGTGTGCCCTTTATAGGGTACTACATTACTGGGAAGTCACGACAATAAGAAAGTTAAGCAAGTGTTAAGTTTTCCTCAAAACAGTCCTGAATCTTTTTGAGAGTCAAATACCAGCCTCATCTCATATCAGTAGCCCTGGAACCAAGATGAAAACCACTGAAATGCATTTCTCAGTTGCTAATATGAAACACATCAACTAAACATACGTACATTTTCTGCAGAGATTTAGGCTGGAAATCTCTCTCTCCTTCTGCTACAGGCCATGAAAAAGCAGTGAGAAAGCCCAGCACTTCCTATTGTACAAAGATGTAAACTCCAAAGGGAACTGAGAGCAGTAAAGGAAACCCACACCTCAAGAATGTTCAGTAGAGACCCAAATCCTTCCCATTCACTACAGGCTTTATACTAACTTTATTATCACAAGGCCTGGAAGAAGTTAGTGAATGTACGCAGCATAGCTCACAGTGAGTGGAGGATGTAGCCAAAACTTGCTCTCCAAACCAGGAGGTAAGTTGAGGTAAGTCTTCTATTTACTCAGGCAGAAACTTAACAATTATAGCTTGTTTACCCTAACACAGGTCCTTCCATCTTAATTAATTTACTTTGCAGGCAGGAAACAAAGTGAGAAGACAGAATGGCCATAACCACTATATTCTTCTGCAAGGCACTAGAGTGTACAGTTTATCTCAGCAGAGAGGGTTTCTGGCTGTTCAGCTTGTATCAGCTTCACAAACAAAATAAACTGTATGAATAAAAGGATTTCCCCCCTGGCATACACACATGATATCTACAATGAGGCTTCTGTCAGTGTAAGAAAAAAAACAATAACCCAACTATTAAAAACCTCTCTACAGCTCGAAAAATATCGCAGGTAGACTTGGCCTTAAGCATAGGTGGTCATCTCACATAAACCCCTTGCAAACATAAAGGTCTCAGCATAAAGACATGCCAGTGCTTTTAACTGCATACAGATGGGTTTACCACAGGGATATGCAACAAAAATACAAATCTCTACTCAGATACATGGGAAAGATCCCATCCTAGAAGCAGAGGATCCAGAGAGTGCCAAAAAGTTGCTAGCTAGCGTTACTTAAGACACAGGTGGATTTTCCTAGTGAAACCAGTTGGAGCCTATATACTTACCTCCAGAAAGTTACTTTACGACAGCTACTACAAAATGAATGCAGGCTTCTTCCCTACTGTGTTTTTTTCAATGTTCTGTCTGAGAAGCAGCAATGGAAAATATAAAGGAGCAAAGTACAATGTAAAAAAGAGGAGCTGAAAATAACAGGTTTAACCCTAGATCATTATGGACGTGATTTTGAAATGGGGAGCCAACAAAGGTGGAAAGAAGAATTCAGGTCTTACCTGAACCTAAATGATGAACCTCTAGAAAAAAGAACAGGTTTAGGCTTTGGTTTAGGTTCCTCAAAAAGCCTGAAAAAGGCATGATGCTCCACACAGATCTTCCAGAAAGACTTGCAAAAATCTCGACTGGCCATAAGGAATTCCAGCGTGTCCTGGAACGAACTCTGAAAATTGAGATGGCATTTGCAATGTAAGCAAGCAAGCAACACATATTACAGAGATGCACTGACAAAGCAGCCGCTATGCTACCAAAAAAAGCTTTTTCCCAACTCATTGGCTTTCTGGCTTAACAGGCCCTATCCTTCCCACTTGAAGACATCTCTGATTTCCCTGGCAGTATCACAGCTATTGCTCAAACTTCCTTTCATTGACAAATACGACAGAGATAAAGCAGTGGTCTTAACATTAATGAGAAGAGGTGGTTTACATGCTATAACCTAAAGAATTGATGATACAGTACCAGAGTCTCAGCCAGAAGACGACTCCGTGACATTCAGTTTGTATCTCTGTTGCTGGGACTGCTCACCTGAGATGCCAGGTTGATATGTGCAGTACAAAGAGTCAATATAAGCAATTAATTCTAAAAAATAATCTTCTTGAGGTGATAAAAACATACATTTGATCTGTGAGTAGATATTTACCAAATAACCTTTTGTCAATTCCTGACAAGGACTTACATTCACATCAGGCCGTAGTTTGATAAGAAAACGTTTCCTCTTGAAGCTGAGCTTTCGAACCTTAGCCCAGTTGAAGGCATTGATCTTGGTGTGACCCTACAGAGAACAAAGCCAGCAGAGTTTAACCATTCCAGATCTGAATGGAGAAATCTAAATCACTAAAGAAAGCTTGTCATAAATTAATCATCTATTCACTTCACTTGAAATTATGGTATCTCTTATCATTCATCCTCTGATAATGCAAACGATAAGCATCTGGTGCTGTGACTGAAGGCAGGTATTTATGGTTAAACTCTTGTGTATTTATAGGACTAGGTATACTGAGTTGATGTGAAAGTATCTGACCCTGTATCACTGCACAAAACAGGGTGGCCCAGCTATTGTGCAGATGATGTCCAATGTGCAGACTCTGATTTTCAGTGGACTCAGACAACTCCCAGAGACGCCTCCTTCACTTTCTACCAGCTACAGAGAATGCAGGGAATCCAGACACCTAACAGGGTCACCTTACTTTGATGGGGTAGATTTCTTTCTTTGTCTGTTTACATGTCAAAATAAACACCCCTTTAAATATCACTTAACTGGGGGGAAAAAAACAGCAACTGAAGGTTTATATTGGAAGTGCAAAATACTGTATTTTGACCTTTCATAGGGCGCAACAGAAGTAAAAGGAACCTAAATAAATTACTTATCTCTGAAGAGTCACAAAATTCTTTTCCCCCAAAAAAGCAACCAAAAACCAGAAGCAAACAGGAAGCCTGAGAGAAATGATCTTCAAAATACTACAGTCCCCAGCCACTGCATCATTAGCCCCCACTCCCCAAAAGTCTCAATCTGTGTTAGAAGGTATTGGAGTTATTAATTTAAAATATTCATTGCAGTAGTTTGTTCAGTAAAGACTTCAATACAAATATGCCTACACCACAGCACAGAAGTTTCAGAGAGCTACTACAGGATTGCTAAATGCAGAAACCCACGTCGATTTGGGTGCCGTCACCAGACGGACGTAGGAGTAATGACAGTGTGATGATGTCTGCTAAGGCAACTTGCTGTATAAGAATCACATAATTAATCTCCCTTGGAATATTCATCAGCACTGACACCAATTTCTAAATAGATGGCAGGCTTTAAAATAAGTCTCTCTGAGTACTGCTTATGCCATTTGTGAGTGAACCTTTATTTCCCTTGAGGTCATTCTAATGAGGTCTTCATATTTCAATTTCTCTCAGTTATACCCAAAATAAAAAGATGAACTTAAGGCTCTTGCCCTGTGCAGTGCTTGAAGGAAGCCCTCAGCCTACTGCCAGGGGCAAACTGCTGGGCACGCTCCAGCAGGTCAGAGTCTGACTTAATTTTCAGCATTCAGTCTTGGAGCTTGAACCAGCAAAATTTCCAAGTTTTTCTGAAAATTAAAAAAAACAAACTGTTTTGAAAGTCCCAAATACATTAGGACAAGACGAGATGACTGAGTTTTAGAGCTTTACAAATCAGGCTTTGGGCCTTCAACCAGCAGCTGCATTTTTACATAAGGATCCCAGTGAGGTCCATGCTGTTTTGTGTAGACACATACTTTCAGCTGTAAGACAATCTTAATTTATAAGGCTTTGCAATTCATTAATTCAGCTAATGACAATACTGTAGGGGAGCAGGGGAAGGGCCTAAACATACAATTATTTGAGTTATGTGCATTTCTAACAACATCCTGGTGTTCTCATGCTTCAATTTTTCGGTTTTACTAGGAACACATTTAGTTGAGCATGATTTTTTAAAACTTTTTTTTTTTTTTAAATTTATATTTTGGAGCATTTGGGTTGGTCATATTTCTAGGTTAGTTTGTTGCTGTTGTTTTTCTTTATAAAAAGACTCAAAGTACTTTATATGGTTGGAAACATTAGTATTTTAACTGAAGTCAAACAGTTAAAACAAATAGTCTTTTCTGACAATTGTAAAAATGGACATTTTAAAGAACAGTTTACTTATTGTTTTTAACCCACAGTGAGGTAAGTAGCATTTTGGATGCTAGTGGACATAAGTTCATCTGAAGTGAAAGCAGTTTACACCAGCTGACTACCTGTACCTTCACAACTGTAAGAGCTCAGCTTGTTATTTACCTAAGGGGAACTGCAGAACAAGAATTTGATACATTTACTAATGATGCTTCATGAAAACTTACTAGGCTGACTAGGGTGGGAGAGGAGAGGAAAGAAATGTAAGGAATAT